GTGTGTGTGTGTGTGTGTGTGTGTGTTTGTGTGTATATATGTGTGTATATATGTGTGTATGTGTATGTGTGTGTGTGTCTGTGTGTGTGTGTGTTTGTGTTTGTGCTTGTGTTTGTGATTCTGCGTGTGTTTGTGTGTGTGCTTGTGTTTGTGGTTGTGTGTCTGTGCTTGTGTGTTTGTGTGTGTGTGTGTGTGTGTGTTTGTGTCTGTGTTTGTGTTTGTGTGTTTGTGTGTGTGTGTGTTTGTGTGTTGGTGTGTTTCTCTGTGTGTGTGGGTTGTGTAGTTCTCGTGTTTTGTGTGTGTGTGTGTTTGTGTTGGGTTGTGTTGGTGTTTCTGTGTTTCTGTGTTTCTGTTTTGGTTCTTCGTGTTTCTGTGTTTCTGCGTGTCAGTGTTGTTGTTTTTGTTGTGTTGTGGTTTGTGTTGACGTTTGATTGCCTGTTCAAAGGGACACCAAAAGGAAACTATTTTTTTAAAGATCTCTCCATTTGCAGCTCGAAGAGAAGGCCCAGATATCATTGCTTGGCCCATTGCGGCCGCACCATTGCGGCGTGGCAGGATTCAGAACCCTTCCACCCCAAGCTTCACAAAAAGGTTATATAAACGGCTTGAACAGCTCACTACTAGGTTTTGAGTTTTGCTCTGCAGAGCTTCAACCAGGTTAAGTTCATGATGTAGTTGATGTTCTCAGCGACTAGTTCGATGAAAGAGTGCAAACATTTTCGGAACCCGCATTTTGATTCAACGACAAGGCCACCTGATCAGAAGTGGTGGGAATGCCTTTGGCGGATACCTTTGCTTCCTTTTGTGCAGCATTTAGGGCTGACCCGCAAGGGAGTGCCATGTGGCCCCGAAATTGGGTTCTTGCTGTTGATTTTTGGGGCAAGAGCCAGACTTCAGCCCTCCATTCGCCATGCTCTTCACGAAGCCCCCACCCGTCGCTCGCCTATCCAGCCAGCGCTTCACGCTCCTGAAATCCGCAAATGTGTCTTCCGACGGAAGGCCTGTTGTTAGGAATGCTGGATACCGATTTGGGTGCGTCTGATGTGCCTTGAACACAACCCAATACCTTGAAAGCAATCCTGTTCTTCGCTGCACACTCTCCACGTCAGCAACCTAGTTCGACTGTTGAATCTGAACGGGCACATCATATTACGGTCATGCGTGCGCAAAGGAGTATCTGCTTCTACTTCTACTCCACTGCTTTCTTTTGTTTGAGTATTGGCTGTGGCTGCCACACACTGTGTAGAAAAAACAACATCACACAAATCTGCGGTCCCCAGGGTCTTGAGCTACACCCTATCAGAGCAGTTCTTCTGCCTTGGCTCGGTGCCTGGCTCGGCCTGTTGCATTTGTTTTCTGATCTCACCGCGCGAAACAAACTCCTGGGTCAGGCCTTGAACCTCATGCAAGCCCTGCCAGCTTCCCCCACAAAGAGGAAAAACATGGAAAAAAACGACAAACTGGACTCGGAGATGCGCACAGACTCAACCGACCAGTCAAACAAACCCACTTAGTTCCTTTGATACCCCCTGCCTGCTCTTGCGCTTCCGCCGCCGCGTGCTCCGGGAAGCCCGCCTTGGCTTGCGCAGTCGATCGAAGTAGTGTTGTCAACTCGATGGGAGAAAAAAACAAGGAATGTGAAACAGACTTGCGCTGGCAAGCTACTTGCAAAATGAGGAAGAAGGGCGCCTTTTGCAAGTGCAACCTTGCCGCATTTGGATCACACGAGATTGCCCACGACGGGATTTCAGCGGGAGTCCTATGCTTTCCGGGTGCAATCTGGACCGATCCAGCTTCCAGCTGGTTTCCTTTAAGACCCTTCTGTCTCGAAATAGATAACGCCCCTTTAATCAAACTGTGGTTTCCACTATACAGTCCCAAGAATAGGAGTCTCAAAATAGGAATCCTTTGGGGCCCCACTTCCGCACGCTGCGGCTGCGCGGCCGCAAGTACTCCGGCAGCTCTGCCTCGAACGATCCGAAGCTCCGGCCGCGGACCATCCCGAAGCAAACGTAAAGAATTGAAAGGCCCGCCACAGCCATTGCCCCATAGCGCCGCGCTGGAAGGTTATTTGGGGCAAGCAGGCAGCACTGTATGCTCTTCTTGATTGCTGAGTTGTTCAAAACGGGGGGGGGGGGGAACCCAATCTGTAATTCATAATCCGTAGCAAGACACCACAAGCAAAACCACTAAGACAACCCAGCCAAACCCCCGGCTACATCGGATTGTCTTGCCACGTTGTCCGGGGCTTCCCACCGGATTCAGCGGCGCCTCCGAAAAGCTCGGGGCAGGCTGCGCCTTGGCGCGGGGGAGGGGGGGGGGGGCAGCCGGCCGCATTTTTGAAGGTACCCTTTTCGGTGTGAAAGGGAAACCACCAAAGGGAAACCACCCAGTTTTGGGGAACCCGACAAGCTCGTATGTTTGTGCAAGCATGTGGTCTTCGCATTTCTGCTTCTTTGTGCGTTCTTGAGGGGTCTGCACTAAGGAGCAGCAAGGGAAAAGGAATGATCCACTGATGGGTGAACAAGATCTGCATGATCCCACTGATGTAAGTTCCTGTCTTGGACCGAAAAACAACTGCAGGTGTTAAGCAGGAAAATTAGACATTTCAACTTGGGACATGCTGATTGGATCACGTTATGGGTCAAGTAAAGGTGAGGTGGGTAGGTTGTCCTAGTTCAACTACGGGTGGTGAGCCGCAGTGGATCTGTTTGGTTAGGGGAACTAGGTGCCGAGTATAAAAAGATGCTTTCTTGTTGTAGGAAGAAGGGACCAAATTCTCACATCTTGCCTAACTCCATGACCCTTGCCGATTTATAGGTTCTGGATCCGCAAAGCTTTGGAGATCAATCTTGCCAGATGCAGGTACCCGATGTCCATCCATCTCAAGAGCCTCATGGATCTTTGAGAGTCCCATAGAGGGATGCATCGGATAAGCCCACAAAGCCCAGAAAGTCCTTGCTCCGAAAGCCTGCCAAGGATCATCTTGGAGAACATTGACTTGACCAAAATTCGCCCCTGGCATAAGATGTACCCCACAACCCATTCCTTCCCCAATCTTGGCGCACTTGCTGGGCAAATGCAATTCAAGTAGGTTGATATCCCATTTTCCAGACTCTTCAAGTAACTTGACGGGCCTCCCTTCATTGGAACATGGCAAGGAATCCACAGAAGCTCGTTCCATCTGGTGGTGTGTGTTTTGAGGGTTCCCTGTTTTGGTTGGTTTCACCAATGGAAACCAATCAATTTGGGGTACCGCTATTCTCACACATACCGTTTTTTTTTTTTTTAACGGCTGGTAAGAGCATTCGCTTCGGCCCCGGGCTGTCCGCAAAGTCTCAGGAAGCTCGCCTTGCAGGACTCGTGTGGAGAGGGCTTCCAGTCACAAGAAATGCTCCAGCAGCAGATACAAGGATGCCAAAACACCCAGAGCAGCCCAGCAAAAAAGTCAGCATACTAATCAAAGGAGGTTTAGAAGGAACTTCCGTAGTAAGGCAACTATTTGATCTGTGTTTCTCCGATGAACATGTTCGCTCTGAAAAAGCTGAAAATCCCGAGCACTGGGGAATAAGAATGATCAGGCCTGCCTGCCTTCTCCCCCCCCTCCCTCCCTCCCCTCCCACCCTCTCCTCCCTACCCCTCCCTCCGTCCCTCCTCCCTCCCTCCCTCCCTCCCTCCTCCCTCCCCCTCCCTCCCTCCCCCCCCCTCCCTCCCCTCCCTCCCTCCTTCCCGTCCCTCCCTCCACTCCCTCCCTCCCTCCCTCCCTCCCTCCCTCCCTCCAAGCAAATGGAGAACATACGCACAGTGTGAGTTGCTATGTTCAGTATGGTGATGTTGTAGTGCTGCCACTGCTACGAGGAAGCTTCAAAAAGGCAAGCAACCACAGTTGGTCATGTAACGTCCTTAGACGTCCAGAGCGCCGCTATTTTTTCCTGTGACCGCATCACACGGCTGTTTGTTGTATGTCGACCCCACCAAAGTCCGAAGAGGATTCACCATCGGATGCTTGACCAAAGTGAAGAACGCAAGACAACCATCAGCGAGTTTGTTTAAGGTCGACCTCGCGAAGTCAGCTCTTCTCCTAGCCACCGGTGCGGAGGCTTTAGGACAGCTTTCAGACCGGTTGCTCTGACTTGGATCGCTGTCTCAAACGCAGTGGGGAAGGATCGGACACAAAGTCGCGTCTGGATGTCTTTGAGCAAAATAGACTGAGAGAAAATGAACAGGGGTGAAGCAGTATCTGCTGCGTTGAGGGTCCCCAGCGCCTTTGATCCACCCCAAGTCCCCCCGATGGCTAAAGTGACCAGGGCCCCCCAGCTGATAAGCTTCACCTGAACTTCGCCTGGCGACGGCTGGCTAAACGCCCAGACACCTTCAGCTGAGAGACGTATGTGCGCAGGTTTCCCTTTTCAGAAGTGTTCTCCACAGTATTTGCCACTCCCCATGTGGCTTTGGTGCCCATATACGTACTCCTCCGAGCGTCTTCGGGCATTTCATCGAGCAAGTGGAAGAGAACTACAAGCTTGACCCTGGGCAACAGTCCGGGCCCGGAGAGGATGCAAAACCCATCTGCACACGAAGAAAAACGTCAGTGCCATGTCACTTTAGCTATGTGAGTTGCTGAGTTCAAACATCTGTATGATCGATCTCATTTACGCACCCTGTTCGCAGCTGCAAGTTGGAGTACGAGAGGGAGCCAGAAGACCACAACTGCTGGATTTTCAAAAAATGCAGACCCTCAAAATGTTTCCGGATGGGCGGCCAGGGCCTCCGAAGATGCCCGGCTTATTGGCGATTTTCCTTGGACGAGCGAAAGCAGGGGTACCCTTTTTGGTGTTGCTTGAAAAGGATTGGACACTGGAAACTCCTGGCCTGCCGATTCCAACACATCTCCTTTTCGTAGAACGAGGGCCGCAGCATACGCTTGCGTAAGAACCTTCAGGTGTCCGATTCGGTTTTGCATCCTCGGCCAGCGCAAAATCACCAGCATTGCCAGCATTATCAGAATAACATTCCGGAACAAAGAGAAAAACTTGGGAAACAGGAGAAAAAAAGAAGAAGAAGGAGAAAAAAAGGGGAACATTGGAAGCCCTGAAGAAAACATAGCGACAAACGTTGGGAAAATATAGGAAACAAAAAAAGAAGACAAAAAAAAGGAACATTGAAAAGCATGGGAAAAAAACAATCGGAACATACGCGAAAACTTGGGGGGGGAGCATTTGGAAGCCATGGGGAAGAAAACATTGGAAACTATGGGGACATACATTGTGGAAAAATATGCAAAAACAAGGGGGAGCATGTGAAGCCATGGGGACAACATCAGGGAAACATATGGGAAATATGCCAAATGGGGAACACAATGGGAAATATGCCAAATGAGGAACACATTGTAAACGATGGGCGGAAATTATGGGAAACATGGGGGACCATTGGAAGCCAAGAGAAAACGTTGGAAGCCAAGCGGGAACAAACAGGGCACACACTGTAATGTCGGCCGTCTGAGCCGGCGGCGAAATCGCCTATCTGCACCAAACAAAACAGCATGGCTTGCTGACACACAATCACCTCGACATGTGAGTCACCGCAGAGAAAGACACCACAAAAGTGTCTGTCATCTTGGGCAACGCAGCACAAACATCATGATGACTCAGGCAATTCCCTTCAGTATTCAGCGATATCATTTTGAGCCAAGTATTGTTGCGACATTGCGACGATTCATCATTCTATATAGTTCCAACAGCATCGTAATGTCTCAAAGAGCTTCGCAGTACAGGCAGCAGTGTCTCGCCGCCCATCAATCACCACCTGCACCCCAAACATAATAGGCTGCTGCCCGACAGCACCCGTGGCGCGGGCGCCGGCACTTACGCAGACCGAGCATGCCAAAAAATGCCAGTGCAAAGGAAAAAGCCGGGGAGGTGTTGATGTCATCCAACAGCAAGGCCATAGTCAAACTAAACAAAATGAGATGGATCCCCATGCAATGAGAAACAAGCCATTGGGCAAGCCCGGATGCCGAGGAGTGCATCAAATGATCAATCGCAAACTCGCCAACAGTTTGATAAAACCTACACCAGCCTTTGAATTGCTGAAGAACACTTGCTGTCCGAGAGCAAACATGAGTCAGCTGCACTACAGGCTAACTAATCGGGCTCCATAGCAGAAGAGCGTGTAGACTGAGCTGCACGAGGGGATGGACCGGTAAATCTCACACCCACAACCCATCCGAGCCAAAGGCCGCACGGCCAGCTGCGCCATGTCTGAAGAGCTGTAGCACACATACCTGCCGAGTGGAATGTGAAAACCTTTCGGCCGTGGAATTGTTTCTGCTTCTCGTCCGTGTCACTGCCTAAACTCCGCAAGTCTCAGTTGTTCCCCTCCCGATGACCACCCATTGGAGCTTTGAAAGGCTGGGCCCCCCACGCTGTGCCGCCATCCACTACCGCCATAGTCATAGCCTCAGGAATCAGGCATAAAACCACATGCAAGATTTGCTCAAGCAGGACAGCCCCGAGAAGCAAGCAAACCATGGCCCTGGGTTCAGGCTGGGGACGGCTTCCAAAGACAAACCCGCGTAAGTCGGGAGGCGCAATTATGATGTCACAATCACCTTTCAATTTTGCTAGAGCTTTGCAGGTCCTTGAGCTTCATCTTGCCATCCAACTTCTGGCAAGGATGAGGCCCAAGGCTGTTCTGTTGCTGATGCCTTCCTGGTCTGACATGCCACAGGCAAGGCAACCCTAACAAGTCAAAATGCAGCTAACCTACCGGAAAATTGTGGGAGGCCCTCTGGATTGCGGAAAACTTAGTCCCCCCCCCTTTCCCCATGTCCATAGACTGCTAAACGTCGTGACCGAACCTCACAGGAGCAGTGCCCTTTGCCTTTGTCTCTTGTTGCTGATGGTACAGCTATGTACGAGTGCCAGCCTAAGCGTGCAAAAAGACATGACAAAAAGAGGACACTAAGAATGGAACACAAAGTTCAAGTACCGCCCGTGGTGAGCAAAATAGTCTTGCAGCATGGCGGCTGCGGACAAATCAGATGTGAAATTAGCCCTTGCGAAAATGCCATGCGCCTTGAGCACACTGCGGCGCACGAGTGAAGAAACCCCCGGCTGAAGCGGGAGAGGGAAGACATGGATGTTCTGTTTCTGTTCCCGACCTTCTTGGCGTGAGTAAAGGCGCACATCCTGGCTAAACACTGCAGCCTCAAGGGATTGGTCCCTAAGGGTCCAGCGGAGCCTTTTCCGTCATTCACAGGCACTCTCACAGGTGCACGAGTTTTCGTCTCAAGGACAAACCCATTGATTTTGGGTTCTGCTCAAAATGGTTGTAAATAATATAGGTGACTGCATTGCTCTTACCAGCATAAGTTACCACCATAAGGATGGGGAGTACTAAAATACCCTTTTTGGGGTTTTGGGTGCTGCCCACATGCAACAAGCAATTTCAAGGGATCCCAAGCTCTTTAACACATTCTCTCAAATTTGGCGAAGCTCCTCAAATGGCAAGGGTGTCCTTTTGCAACTTCCCTTTCAAACAATCCCTAAAAAAGTCCCCAGTGGTCCACCCCTTAACACGCTTGGGCCCGAAAGGGAAAAAACGAAAAGAGGCGCAATTGCCCGCCGAATCCTCGGCTATGGGCTCCTGGCCCCATAGCGCGCGCACTCCAAGCGCAGCTGCACCTCGCTGAAGTTGGGAGGAAGCGAGGAGATTGCCACCTTGCGAGAGAAGTTGGCCGGAAAATCCAACTGGGACTGGGGAACCAACCTGAGCAATAAACCGAGGGAATGAGCCTAGAGATTCAACCTGGTCTATAGAGGGGCCCCCTATTTTGCCTCCCTCCACAAGGCTTCAATCCTCCTGGAACCAACCAAAGGGCAATCGGCTGACAACTGGGCCGAACCTGCCACAGTAGCCGACCCGACATGGATGTTTCACAGGGGGCCATTCCTTATTCCCTGTTGAGCACCAGGAAGATGAGGTTCGAACATGATCCAAAAAGCATATCAAAGTACATGTATCCACTTCATAGCGTGACAAAGAGTAACTTACAAATTGAGCTATTGTCATGCGGTCGCTGTGTGTGTGAGCCTTTTATCTGAATCTTGTAAGAAACGCTGATACTGACTGTGATACAAGATAAATGTGTGTGCGTGCCACCTCTTCATCAGCATGGAGAAGGCATGGCAGAGATCATGAGTTGGCACATCAGGGTGGATGTGCGTTCTCGCTATTTTGCTTTGGTGGAGGTTCCCTTCGTCTGCATACAGAGTTCTGTTGCACAATGGCAGCTTTTAGGGTCCCCTTTCTGGGATGAGTTGCAAGAATAGTATTTCATCTTCAAAAACTACAACTATGCATTCTTTTTGGACCCTCAAGAAAGACCGGTCAACATGAAATCAAAACGTTTGGGCAATCCCCCTAGATATGCGCGAACGGAAACCCTTGAGCAAAGGCCGCCTTGTCCAGCGTCGTGGGCAGGGTAAGACTGCTGTCCGGCGCTGACCTCTCACGACCTCCGCGAGAAGCTCAGGCGATACATGCCACGAGCTCCGCAACGCACCATTTGAAGCTCAAGAGTTGCAGACATTGTCACAAATTGCACCATACGTGAACGTCACGTGAACGTCACGTGAACCCAGCCCATTGGGCTACGGGATTGCAAGCCGATGGCCAAGCTCTCCGCCTGTAAGCAAAGAGCTCAGGGTCGTGCCGAGGGCCTTGGACTCAACCCGAAGGCTGTTTCGGGGGCACGTTCGGTGTTTTGGGGGTGCTCATCAAAGAGGATCCAGGCGCCTGTACGTGAAGCGGCAAACTCATCAAGTTGCAACCGGAAAACAATTGAACCATGCCTCCGACTCAGGGCAAAAAATGATCACCACTACAATCGAATGGCACGTTTGGAGATATGATGTTGATTGAAGTGCCAGCTTAACGCTGCTTTGAAAAATATGTTTTGCTTAATGTTTTGTCGAGCCCATATGTTTCCGCAAAACCACTCAGCTGGTCACTGCCAGTCGACAATAAATGATCTTCATGAGGCCAGGCCATTTGTCTGCACAGGCCTAGTCAACATGGTTCGCCATCACCGCAGATTGGGAGATCTGCTTCCTCCCTCTTTCTCACCTGTCACTCCGCTTTTTGTGGCTACTCCTTTCCTTTGGACCGCCTGCAATGAATGCCTTGAACTTGCCAAGAATGGACAAGACCTGCTTCGGAATTCGCCAAAAATCCATGCTTGCCTCTCACATACGTCAGAAACAACTTGTTTGGCTGAGAACTTTCAACAAAAAGACCAGAAACAGACCGTTTGAAAGGGCCCATCTCACTCTTCGCGAAACCGTTTGCGGGTTTCAGGGCGAACCAAGCGCCCCGCCGGCCGCGGCTCCTCCTCCTCTGCAAAGGCCTGGGCGACCTGCCGAAGCCCGGGAACAGTTCGGAGAAAGAACAACAACTCCAAAAACAGTTCTAGGAACAGCATGAGCTCGATTGCATGGTTCAGCACGCTGTTTATCTCCGCGAGGCTGGGCTGACATTGGAGTTCCACCACACAATTGCAATGTGAAGCAAATCAATCTCCAGCTATGCAAAGGAAAGACCTGGGCGCTGCACGTTCCGGTTGGCGTTGGCGGCTGCATCTGCCTGAGATTCCAACATGCTCAAAATCAAAGGAATAAATTGACAAGCCTTGAAACAGTTCTTTTGGCATCTTCTGTTTGGCGATTGTCGCGTGCAAGCGTGAAGCAAACCTGTAAAGCCTCTCTGTAGGATGCCATAATATGATTGCCTGCGCGTTCTCATCGCGAATGAGCTTTGCAATTTTGCGTGGCTCATAGGCGGTACTATTGCCTGCGCCTCCGCTCTGAAGCAGTGCCTTTAAAAGTTGCTCACGCTTTCCATCAAATGTGAGACTCATGAACTTCACCCTGTCTTTTTCTGCCAATTGGTGGAATCTCTTAAGGATGTCGCTCGGATAGATTCGTCTCTTCAGCATACTGCATGCATCCGCCAAATCACTGCATCTTGAGCAACTCTGTCGCCTCCTTCTCGGTCATGTGGCCCACCCAGATGTCAGAGCCGAGGCAGCAGATGACGCTTCCAGCCGCACATGTGCCGTTGTGTTGTAGCGTGAATCACTCGACACGTCCTTTGCTGTGGTGGAAACCAACTGCATCCCCTTCTCCCTACGTCCAAAAGCAGGATGGGATATTGGGTCAGGTTCTTTGCAAACTTCTTCTTCTTCTTCTGCAACTTGGCGCGGACACGACGAAGCACCTCACAAAACATGTTCGCGTCCTTCACTCCAAGCCTTTGGTACATGGCGGGCTTCCAGCTTTCCACCGTGACCGCAACCCACACACCACGAACACCGCGCAAAGCCTCGTCCACTGCCACTGTCTTGCCACATTTGTAGCGGCCACTCACGATGGTCGCGTCGGACTTCTGCTTCCAGCTCCTCAGCCTACGTCTGATGTCATTTACGACCTTTCGTGGGACGACCGCGTCTGGAGACATGGCTGGCTCATAGTGTGAAATGAATTTCTTGACGGCCAGACGCTTCATGCGAAAGTCCGAGGAGGTATACGCGACTGCAGACACCACAAAGCCTGCAAGAGCCAGGAAAAAGTCTCGTATATCGCCAATGCGAGCTGCGGCCACGCATTCAGTGGGGTCGGTGGCGTGCTGGGCCGCCTTCCGCAACTCTCTGGTTTTGCCGAGCTGCGCCCGATTAACTACCTCCTCCACGGCAACTCGCTCTGCCACTGAGGGTGAATACCTCTGGCGGCAGGGTGAAGTCTGTCTGCGGCAAGCTGAAACAAGCTACTGCAGCAATCGCGCAGAACAATGGCACACTGGCTTTGCGGCGTCTCATGGCCATCACTGTGTGGGCAGGAATGCTCAACCACGCAAAGCTTGATAAGCCTTGAAACAGTCTGTCAACCGCAGGAGATTATGACTACTAGATGTTTGTCAGGTGTTGTGAATCGTTCGAGGTGTGCCATGCACCGCATACAGGGTTCCAACTTGGTGTGCCTGTCGAGTGTTGGCTTAGTGCTTGAAGACTGAGTGCCGTGAAATCTACATGCGGCCACGCTCAGCCAAGAAAAGCCTGAAATGCCGCCACCAAGAAACGGCCCAGAACCCAGAACTACACCTGGCAGGTTGAACCTCCGAAGGGGCAGCTGGGCACCTCACGACCATGGCCCTCAGGGGAGAAATCTGGAATGGCACATCAGGATAAGCAGCTCCGGAGCTGCATGATCTGATTGTTTGACGAATATTAAATCCAAATCCAACCATCCATGGCGGGCGACGCTTAGGGCTCTTCATAAACAACACGCCAGAGCCGAAGCCAAAACCCCCTTCCAAAGCAAACCACCATGTTTTGATGGGAGGGTCTCAAAATTAAGACCCCAGTTGGCTGCAAGAAATGGACTTTCACCCTCTCCAAAAAGCAAACCCGAGCCCCCCCCCCCCCCAACTCTCACGCTAGCTGCTGCTGGGGTACTGCCGCCAGGCCGCCGGCCACCGTGGCGGCCCGCGCCTGGCGAATCGAAGGACATCGGGCGGCGACATGTAAAACACTTCCCCTTTACGCAATTCCCTACATTTCCCTTCAACTATCAACAAGCGGAAAGTCAATTTGAATTGGCACCAAAAAGGTGATGTTCTGAAGCACCAAGAAAGGGACATGTAGCCGTCAGGCTTTGGTTTCTGTGGGACCCTTGGCTTGCTTTCTTGGGACCCTCCTTATTCTTCAGATAGTTTCAAGCACTATCAATGCACGGAACTGGCAGCTGCACAGGGCACCCCAGTGTTGAAAGGTGCCTTGGGGGGGTCGGTTCGGCGAGGGCATGCACCACATGCCCGTACATCAAGGCCTGTTGCCGAACAGTCCTTTCCAAAAAAAGACATGTGGGTGCTTCTCCATTGGATGGCGCCCTCTGGGCGAGGGTTTCCAACCGCTGTCCCTGCAATTGGGCATCGGCCGGCCAGTGCAGTTCTGCCTGAGAAAGGTAGAACTGCAATCATCAGAGAGGACCCAGCAGTGAGGCATGATTCAAATCAGCTGTGGTAGTTCAACCGATTTGGACGCTTCTGGCAAATGACGGCGTCATGCCAGCATTATCACTCTGAGCTCTGCTGGGCCAAACAACAATGTATGTATGGTTCCCCCAATGCAACGCAGGACCCCCGCCCCGAACGCTAGCCTGGTCCCCAGACCGAGCCCCTGAACTCACACCCCCAAAAAAAAACGCATCCAGGACAGGCCAACCAACCTTAACACGAAACCAACCTTGAACCAACCCTAAGCCAACCTAAACCAACCCTAAACTTTCCTTATACCAACCATGAACCAATCAAAAACAACCACGCCCACTCCACCACCACAACCCAACCCACGGTTTGGGGGGCTGTATTTGAGGACTTCCGTCTGTAGAGGTCAGTGCTGGCCTCTCTCTTCGCGAAATACATGCAAACTCCAGACAATTCCTATCCCGTCTAATTAATTCGCATTTACGGACCGTCCTAGGTTTGCAACTTGCGGCGCCTGTGCAAAGGCATTCTCCTTACTAAAGCAGTGGTGATGCCGAGGGTGTCGACCACTTTATCAACAAACCACAAGTCAGCGGAAAAATATGCTTTTGCCAAACCACTCTACACATGTTCGCGACATCAACTTACTTGTTGTAAGCGGATAATTGTGTTCTTGACAACTGATGATACTGGGGGTGTCGACCACTTTACCTCGCGGATCTGTCCAAAGCAAACCGGGTCAAAGTGCAATTTCGCAGCTTGTTTTGCAGAGAACAACTTTATCTCGCCAAGCGAGTCTGAAAAGTCGAGTTTGGAAACCGCGACCCGGTGGGACCGGCGTGGTCCGAAGCATGCGCGGAAGGTTGGATCGGCTTCAGGCTGCTGAAGCGCTTCCCACGAGGGCGCCGCAAACCCTGCCTCGGCAAGACGGGCCTGTGCAAGCAGGAGGGCGTGACAGCTCTGCGGAGGCGCCGGGCCTGGGGCTCGCAGCGAGGCGGCCGCCAAGTCAGGCAAGTGGCTGTGCAGGACCGGCAACGCATCAGCCCAAGAGCCCCAAAGCGCTGCAGGGGCGAGAGGCAAAGCGCTGCGCAAGCCGAGGCCGCCAGCGTGGAAAGGAGATCGGACAGGCAACTTAACACCTCATCAGGGGCGAGGCACAAAACAGAAGGAGCAACCAAACACACTGAAGATCGGGGATGGCGCGGATGGCCTGCAACAAAGCGTCCTACTTGATGCGGAGCTGCAGCAGCTGAGCCGCAACGGGATGGCAACAGGCAGCTTGTGCCAGCCTGGATCAGCGGGCGCTTGAGACGCTCCTTTCTGACCTCGGCGGAGCGTCTCGGGCCTTGCTGCTCTCCCAGGCTGGGCCAGGCGCCGGCCTGGTTGAGGAGTTCACGCTGCAGGATGACGCGTTCCGCTGCGTGCTCCTCCACCCACTGCCGCTTGAAGCCTGAGCCTGCCGCTGCGGCGGCGCCCTGGATGAGATCGGAGACCGCCTGCCCCACAGCCGGCGTGCTGGTCTGTCGCGCGTTCGCCGGGAGGCGGGCGCTCGGGTCGCTACCAACGTCTTCCTCTCGGGCTGTCATTGACTGACGGGCACCGGCTCGAGGTCGTGGGCTCCCGGCCTTTGGAGGCATGCAGGTCGCGGTTGATGTGACGCTCGTCAGCCCGCTTGAGCACGACGGGAGCAGCCGGCCTCGCGCCGACCTAGAGCCCGGCCTTGTTTCGAGGGCCGTGGCGCAAGCTTTGGGTAAATCCAGCGAGCCCGGCAGTGTCGCTCGCTGGCCCTTGAAGTTGGAGGGAGATGGGGCGAGGAGACTGAGGCCTTCCTCCACCGCATAGCGCACAGCGCCCGGCTGTCGCAGCCGTGCGCAGGCGCCGGTGGGGGCAGATGCTCGCAGTTGCAGCTCAGGGAGCGTTCGCTGCGAGCCTCTGCCCAACTGCCCACCGACGTTAGCGACGCGTGCGCCAGTGCGCCGCTCGAGGGCGACGTGCTCTCCGACGCCCGTTGGGTGCTGGGGGCGTAGGGGTCGGTCGTGCGTTTCATATTTATTCTTAGCGAGCGGAAAAGCATGTCCTCAATCAGGCGTCAACGGACGACCACTTGAAGACTGTCAAAAGCAGACCCAGTCAGGTCGGCTCGAAAGTTGATGCCGTCGAAAGACCCTGAAACTCGAGTTTGCAACTGCAACATCTGCTTCTTCAACCAGAAACAATAAAACCACGGGAATTGTCTCAATTCAAACCTTTATGTCAGCTGAAAGGGTTGCCTTGACGACGCGCTGGCGATGCTGGAGATGCTGACCACTGTAGTCAACAAAGAAAGTCAAACGCAGATCGGGTCATCGAATTCTGAAACCCGCGACATCTACTTTTGAAACGAAAACAATGAAAACTATACAGGATTCTGCATCCCGCACCTTGTCACGTGTGTACGCACCTAGAATGTACCAAGCTTCGAGCACAAAGGCTACAGTCCGAAAATGATGAGGTGAATTCCTTCAGCGCACACCATGTGAATGTAGCAATCAGTAGAATACATCATCTTGATTCAACCCATGGCATACAAGAGCTACATGCGTACCAAGCTCCTGTATATATATATATATGTGTGTGTGTGCATTTGTTGCTTTGATGTCACTGCCCTAAACTTCATGCGCAGTTCCCTTTATAGAGTTGTTCACGGTATCTCTTTGATGTTGAGTAGCTATGATGTCAGAAGCCAGTGAAATATCTCTGGAAAAGGCCCTCACCGCGACCATGAATGCTAAAACATGCACAGGCTCAAATTTTTGAGAAAACAAAGCTATTTTTGCGGCAAGCCAGCTAGTGTCGGGTTTAACTTGACGACAGGTGGCCCGGAAGCAGAAAAATACCCTGACACCTCTTCCACCCGATGAGAAACAAATCGTAGACGCGTCAATGCCCCTGTTCAAGCGTAGCTTCTGTGAGTTCTTGGCATCGTGCTTCGCAATCTCTCCTATCAACTTCTCGCGCCGCGATGCTGCAGCTTGATGCTGCGCGCGAAGCTGTGCGTGATGTTGCGCGTGATGTCTCATGACGTTGCGCACGACGCAGCGCATGGACTCTGCGCACGATGCTCTGCAACCTCGCTTGCAAAATCCTTCACGCCCTCTCTTGAAAAACTCTCTTGTCTGTGCGCAGCTTGGCTGCGCAAGAAGGTTGGCGGTTTTAGCTGCGGCGCTACTTTTGCGCTTACTAGTTGTGGTTTTTGTACTACAGATACGGATGCGTAGTTCGCGCGCTGCTTTTTTCATTTGAAGTTGCGACTTCTTCGAGCTGGAGACGCACGCGGGAGCGCACTTTCCGAGCAATACTTTCGCGCTTGAAAGTTGCGATGTCCAAGCTGGAGCTCGGGAATGCACTTTGCGTACAACTTTCGTCCTAAAAGTTGCGCGTCTCGCCCAGAGCCATGCAAACCTTTGACACTTAAAAGTTGAACGGCTTTCGGCTTGCCAATTTCGAGCTGGAGCTGCGGGAGCGCGCTTCGTGTACTACTTTTACGCTTAAAGCTGCGATTTTCAAGTTTGGAGCTGGAGCTGCGGGAGTGCACTTCCTGTGCTACTTTTGTACTTAAAAACTCCGATTTTACAAACTTGCGAGCTCTTTCAGCTAGAGCTGAGGGAATGTACTCCGCGAACTATTTGTACTTAGGAGTTGCGAGTTTCGAGCGGCAGGGGCCCACTTCGCGCAGAACACTTGCGAGTTTCGAGCGGCAGGGGCCCACTTCGCGCAGAACACTTTTGTACTTAAGAAACGCGCTTTTACAGCCGGATCTCCGGGAATGCTCTTGTGGGGTCTTGCTCGCGCAATTGATTTAATTTGGGGCAATCGCGTCAAGCCCTTGTGTCCCGCAGATCTAGACAACAACAGCTCCAAACACCTGGCGCAAGCAGACCATGCTGTGGTCACGGGCCCCCAAACTTCAACAGCCGCTAAGAACCCTTGCCACCCACGCAACTCCCTAGGCTTTCTGCGCAGCTCAGCTAGAGTGTTGTAGTCAGCAAGCTGTTCTGCAAGGTAACATGGCTACAACTGCGACGGCAGGCTGATCAGCGAGTTAGAACTGCTCGGCAAGGGCTCGGCAAGCGCTGTCTGAACCAGAGCAAAGTTCGTGCCTCCTACGAGCTAACCGCCAAAGACTTTTGTTAAGTCAGGAGAGTCCAAGATGTTTGGCGTCAGTCCGGGTTTTGTAGAACTTCTGCCTGAACGCTAAGTTTGAATTACAAGCTTGCTGGAAGCGGCGAGTTGGGAAAGTGCTTCAAGGAAGATACTCACTCATTCTTCGTGCCCCAAAACGGGGTTTGCGTTGCGCCCGGGAGGTTGTCTTGCGACCTTGTGCGGGGAGAAATTGAATGTTGGAAAGGGTATGTGAATGCGTGCCACAAGACATCGCAAATAGGCGCGCCGACGAAGAGGGCCAAGGCCTGGTCCGTCCACAGGCCCGAGGGCGCCACCAGCGTCAGGGCTGGGGAACAAGCGCAGAAATCTTTGACCGCCGCGCAGTTGACAGGGCTGCAAAGCATTTGCGCTTCTTACGTGGTGCGGAAGTAGGCATCGATTTTACGGCCCTGAAACAGATTAAGCTGAAACACGCAATGTTCGGTCACAGTTCCAGACTGGTTCTGAGGTGCGGGCTGTCCCGGACCCGTTCCTGTAAATCCAATCAATTGCACCAATCCGGACCGGTCCGGAAGCGTGAAGAGCAGAGGGTTCGCTGCGCTCAAGACACACTTGCACGGCGCCACAGCGAGAGTCGCCGAGCCTGAGACTCTTTTGCGCGGCGCCACAGCAAGAGCACTTCGACACGCACAATCTCCGCAGAGGGTTTGCCGAGCTCAAGACACACTGGCACGGCGCGCCACAGCGAGAGCTCTTCAACACGCGCAATCTCCGCAGAGGGCTCGCCGAGCTCAAGACGGCGCCACAGCGAGAGCACTTGACACGTATAATTTCCGTAGAGGGCTCACTTTCGTCTTGCACGCGCTTGCAAACGAGTGAAACGCTGCGCCTGCCACAAGAGTCACAGGCCCTGTTGCTGAAAATGCTGCGCTTGCCACGCAACCCATAGCATCAGCGCAAAACATACTGCGCTCACCACAATAAACGCATCCCAGTGTCACAGAATGCTGCGCTGGCCATGGAAACCCAGCCGTCAACACACACACACACACAACCACATCGAACATGGGCACGGCGCCGCAGCAAGAGCGCAGTTTTGAAGAAAGGTGCATGAAGGCGTGGCACGCAAGACAATTTTTTGCGACAACTACCATGGCTTAGAGGCCCGATTGTCCAAGCGTCGTAGCCTGTTCCGACCAAAGATATCCACCACGTAGCAGCCCTGCCTTCAAAAGCGCACTTTGATCTCAAAACGTTTGGCGCGAGGCTTCCTGAAAAAACACACTCCGGGTTGTCGCGAAAGCCTGTGTGCGGATGAGACTTCCTTAACAACTGCAAAAAAGACGCATTTCGTGCGAGGCTTCCTGAAAAACATGCCGCGCACCTGTACTCATTGCCCCCTGCCAGCTAGAGCCGAAAAATGAGCACGGCGCCACAGCGAGAGAACACCGCCCAAGTGCCCCCACATTTCGCGCGAGAGTGTCGCACCGAAGGCAACCTTTTGCGCGCAGGGCCAACACTTTGAGCGCGAACTCTCAATCTAACCCAGCCTTAACTCTTTTCGTGAGAACCCCTTAGTATAAACACTGTTTGGCACAGGCTCAAACAAATGCAAAAAATGCAAAACCCACACAGAGGTCAGCTGGCTCTTTGCGTTTTTTTTTGCGTTTCTTTGAGACTGTGCAGGCTTCAGACCTTTTAGCTTCGGATTTTTTGCACTTTTCCAAGCCTGTGCAGGTGTTGGAGCTTTGGGTGCTTAAAACACGCACCGGTTCGAAAACATGCAAAACCTTAACTTGTTATCCGGGGCCTTGACCCATTTTCTTTCCCTGGACGATGATTTTCATTTTCCAGCGGGCCACATTTGGCAGCTCCACCTTGTGCGCCTTGGCACCACGTGGACCACGCGTGCAGAGCACAACACGCTCGTTCGACAGTTCCTGATAGGCCCTGTCCAGGCGCTCGCCTCTTCATGACGGGCGGCTTGGCCCATTCCGCCCGATCAGCCGCCTGCCCCACATCCTTCGACTGCCACCCAAAAGCCTTTTAACTTCCCGTCGAAGATATCCGGACGATCCTGAAGAAGTTGCTGTTTCTATTGTCTGACTGCGTGCCACAACTGCCACTTCGGCAAAAGGGTCTGGAAGCCACCCATCTTCTCCAGCATGTGGTGTTCTTGGCGGGAAGCAGCGCGAACTCCAGAACAAAGGGTCGAGACGAACGCAACCTTAACTTGATCCGGGAAGATGATGTGTTCAGGAGGAAGTTGTGAGGAAGAACAACAAGTTGAAGACTACATGCCATACCAGGAGAAGTCTTCAAGCGAAAGGGCGCTGGCATGCCCGCCGCGTTGCTGACCTGAGCTTGTCCCGCAACAACGACAAACTACTGGAGGCTGTGCCCCTCCCTACAGGCTGCGTAGACACAATGCCAGCAACTGACAGCCACCCGCAGCACCGCCATCGGCGGCGACACCGGTTGGCTCCCAGCCAACAACAACCGCAACACAGGAAGGAGTTGCCCTCCGGAACAAAGAAGGTCTTGCACGAGAGGAAGGTCAGGAGGTGAGACAGGACCACGAGGCAAGTCCGGATCCTGTCCCGGAGAATTCCGGCAACAGCCCTTTGCGCTCTGGCTGCATTGGAGTCCTGCGCTCCTGCTTGAGTTCCATCCCCAGTCTGAACGCTTGCCTGGCTATTCGGAAAAGCACGCCAAGTGGTTCAAAGGGCAGGCTTGCTCGCACACCTTTGCGGCGATGGCCGATCCGAATAATGACAAGTTGTTTCACGCAAGACTGGCAAAGGTCTTAAACATGAAGATGCCAGAGCTGAAGCCTGCCCCAGGCCTGGCACCAAAGAAGCGAAATGAAAGTCGCGGGCGAAGCCCAAGTCGCGGGTAAAGAAGGCGAAGAAGGAAGGCAAGAAGAAATGTATCTCAAAGGACGACGACACGGAGGACGCTGAAGATCCTGAAGATGATCTGGACGACGATCCCACTGAGCGGCGACTCTGCGGAAGATGAACAAACAAGCTGCGTCCGCGCAGTCCATCTAGCTTTCAGGGCAACACGTTTTGTTGACAACACAGCAATCATTTTTAGCTCGGGTTGATTCCAGTTTGGAGTGCTGTGCCAGCGATGCTGTTCAGACGTGATGAGACTTTCCACAATGACTTGGCTTAAGCAGCCCAAGAAAGCTCCAAAACCTGCACAGGCTCAAAAAATGCACAAACTGCAAAAAGCCAGGCAAATCAAGCCCTGACCTCCTCTGACATTGCATCTGGGTTTTGCACGCTTTGCATTGCTTGAGCCTGTGCAGGTTTTGGAGCTTTGAGGTTTGGAGTTTTACATTTGTTTGAGCCTGTGCATGTTTTGAGGACGCAATCATCAAACAACGTAAAAAAGAAAAAAATAGCAGTTTCCTTGCAAACACACTGCAACTACCAGTGTTTTCAACACCGACAAAGTTGCATCTGAAAAAACGCTTTCCGTTGTCTCGTGTTTTGCTTTCTTGGGTCTTCTTTTGCATCAAGCACTCAAAAAACATCTGGCACAAAATACAAAATCTCACAAAAAAACACTGCAAATTACAGTGCGTCCTGCAAGGCATCTGCAAACCAAGTGGACACTGAACATATGCCAATAAATCCCTGTTGTGCAAAAAGTAGAAAGGTGGGCGACCATGCATATGTATATATATATATATATGTATATATAGACACATATACATACAAATACTGGGTTCAAATGACTTGGGACTTTGAGCCAAATGACGACTTAACCATCCCAGCTGTACGTCAGACGCCTGTTGAAACTGGTGGGATGCCCTTTCTGACCTAAGATCCTCACACCCTTTGTCGAACTCCCCCACCTACCGCAAAGAACAACATCAACCAAAAGACCTGGGACACATCCTGCGCGGCCTTGTGGCGTGTCATGCGCACATGCGCTGCAAAGATCGAACAATTGCAATCCTCTGGAAGCACAAACCAAGGAGTGGCAACATGGGAGTGTCGAGCCGCTAAGCACCCAAGCGGATCCTTTCATGTAGCTATGCCTCTCAGCGCATGACACTGGATCTTGATTCGGGAGTCTGCTTTTGTGGGGACAAGACTTGAGAACAAAGACAATAGAGCACGTTCACGGATTCTCAAATCACCACATAGCTGTTGTATACATATTCAATATGTACAAATCAAACCTCCCCCTCCCACCCATCCCCTCTTGTCCTCTGACAGCTGCCAACTCCCTCTCCCAGAAAATCCTCCCCTAACCCCCTCTGAACCAGAGCCATACTAAACCAAGACTCCAACCAAGACCAAGCCAGTAAAGTGCAAATACCACATGCCAAGCCAGCGAATCGAGAATGAACAAGTGCCAAACCAATATCAAACAAATATCAAAACCGCAATGTCAAATGGGCAGACCCGATTGCCTGAAACTGCAGGCAGCACATGTGGGTTCTGACCAGCGGATCTCCTCTTTCCGTCCCAGCTATCAGTGCCAACACGCCGAACTTGCGCCCTTGCGCACTCACCAGCCTGCTCAGCAGCTTCTTTGACCTTCAGGCACACTTCAAATGAACCGTGTGGATTAAAGGCATTGAAGTGCGAGGCGGCCCGATGTGAGGCTTGAGCTTCACAGGACTCCGGGGCTGATCACATCAGCAGGAAACATGTTGGTTCAAGCTGCAAGTGAAAGCCGCCAGCAAGCTTGGACATCTGGGGAAAAACTCAGCAAGGCATGCAACCAAGATACAAGATGTTGGAAGCTTCATCAAATGTCACTTGTATTCATACAGCCTCGCATTGACCAAAGCAATGCAGTTGACGTCATTCACTGGTCGTGTGTGGGCAGCACAACTTCACTGCCCGGCCCAACAGTGTTGCTCGGAAACAAAGTAGTGTTAAACATGCTACACCATGAAGCTGATTTATGTCATGTTGACTACAAACAGAATGACGATACATCAGAATGCAAATGGCTTTTAACGGCATGTGTACCCAAACCGATAGAAAGTGAAAGCGTTGTGAAGGTTCGCAAAGCAAACCACCTGTAAATTCCTTACACAATGTGAAGGGCCATGCTTCTCACCGTGGCACCATGTTGCAAAAGTATTGCCAATATGTTTGGCGGCGATTGTGTGACGCACTAAGCAGCTAAGGATATAGATGCAGACAAGCATACATACACTTTACTGGCATCTATGTTTATGTGATGTGTCCACATTTAAAAAAATGCAAATGCGTCAATCATGAACCTGTGAACGTGTTCTTCACATTGCTGAAATGGAGTGCGCTCCACAGACCGCTGTGTATCTGCCCAAGACTGCTCCCCGGAGACGTGCCGTGACATGACGTTGAGGAAGAACACGATATTGTGAAATAAGTTGGCAAACTTCAGGAGTTGATCACTTTTTGCTTGCAAGTGGCAGGGTTGCCGAGATGCAGTCAATCAAAGAAACTACAGGAAATAGTTTGTGTCTGGTATGTTTGGCAGATTTCTTCTTGGAAACTCCTGTAGCTAGTTTCTATCAAAGAAAATATAAATAGGGGGTGAGGTGCCGCGCCTGCTTAGCCAGGCGCTCAAGCTCCGCTGAGTCCGCAGCCTGGCTGCATAGCGAATGGGTCAAGCCCAAGGAGACCAACGGGAATTTCTCAAAGTTCCCTAAAACGGGTGGTGTCCAACCAAAAAATAGGATCCTACCATAGGCTCAAATTGTACCTAACCATTCTGAGGGGTGTTCCGAAAAGGGGAAGAGGCTTCAGACATATCTTTTCCCAGCAGGATATGTGAGGACCCAATGTACATGGCTGAATTTGCAAAGCGCGCACGTGTACATGCACAACTAGATTTGCACGTACATGAACGATGTTTATATGTATGTATATATATATATACTCACACATGTGTGTGTGTGTGTGTAAAAAGGTACGCATGTGCAGTACCTTCTCCTGCCAGTGTCATTGCCTCGTCAAACCTTCAGCAACATGAATGGCAAGACATGGCACACGGTTGCGTTGCTGCAAGAGGATGCCGCTTCGCACGATGACAATATGCTTCAAGGAGTTGCCAGCCACGAGAATGCGACTGCGGCATCGGCGGCATCTGAGAGCATGCAAGCCGTACAAGCCTTCCACCAGCCCCGTTAGGACCGTTAGGACTACCCTGCCGCAATTTTTCAGTATTTTAATGCAGGCAGTCTCTTTCTGATTTCTGGGAGCTCGGCTCTGCATTGCTCTGTTGCATGTGGCGATGGGTTCGTGGAAATGGGCCCAGGCGTTGAAATGTCTTCATCGATCCCAAGCCAATCTGTTAATGGCTTTCAGATAAGCCTTTGGCTTTCGTGCTCCAGTAATTGAACTATCGAATTCGGGGATCAAGTTGGGTCAGCTGGTCAAGTACCCGGTAAATATGATTAAACTCTCATGACTGAACCGACGGGGTGTGTCTAAATGTATTCCCTTTTAAGCACCACCAAAAGAGCACTCGTTGGCATCCTCAAAAAGACACCCATCCAACTCGGTGGCGCCCGACCGGAGCAAAGCCCTCTCTATCAACCTCACCTCAGCGGCGCCTGTCCTCGGCAGGTGGCTCGATTCGGGCAAGGCACAGGCGTGGAAATGGACCGGAAGATCGGCACGTTTCGACGTCCCAAAAAGAGCTGTCAAAAGAATGAGAAGGTGCTGTATATATCATATAGTGTAGTTGTCCCAACCATGCAAGGTTTGAGAATTCTCACCATTCTGCTGTCAGCCCGCGCACACGCGCTGGTACGGTTTGGAGTGGGGGCAGGAGCAGGAGGATTCTCCAGTTGCTTTTCCCCAAGATCTCTGCACCCTTGCTACTTCAAGCGGAGCCAGATCATCGACATGGCACAACTCAGAGCAGTTGATGGACTCACTTTGTGACTCTTACAGGGCTCCAAAAGGCATCTGAACAACAAGGGTTCTCACAAAATTGAGGCACTCCATCCGAACACATGCGGCTCCTTGCTCCGGAACCTATGTCTCAAAAGGCTCGCAAAGCCAGAGGATTAGTCCAAGACCAAGTGAGTGGCGAGGGAGCAGAAAGTCACCCTCTCCTCGACAGGATCGTTTGTACGAGTAGCCATTGCCATGGGGGGACTTCGTCAAAACAGGGGACGCAACAAATGGATTTTGCTTCTCCTGTTATCCCAAAAGCGGATACCTCAAACATATTTGGGGTTGGTCGTATCCAAAGCGCCCACCTTATCGGGGCCCGGGCTTCCAGAACGCCTCCGAAGCGAGTCAAGGTTTTTGTTTTTGTGTGATGCTGGTGATTTGAAGCCTTTCGTGGGTTCCTTGTAGATTGCGTTTTAGCTTTCAGGTGTTGCAAAATTTGGCAAAGTAAGCAACGGCGGTCTTACTGTCAAGGACATTGCTATATTTGGGGCATGATGTGTCATTGAACATCACGATCAATAAAAAGGAGCCACGGATTTGCCAACCACAGTCACGTGGCCCACCGCAGTGTGTCGGAAACCGACAAAGACCGGACTGAGTCAGGGCCATTTTCCGGGATAGTCGTTTGAAGTCATAAATTGAAGCATAGCCTGCAGTGGAACTGACAACTAAACTTAGTTACGCTAGTGTCATGCAAAGCAAAGTGAGCAAAAGTCGGGTGAGGGGCGAGTAACAGAGTCAGGAACCAGGCTGGACGAAGAGAAGAAACGGATTGGTCCAAGTCAGGAAACAGGTTGGGTCGTGTCAAGAACTTGGAGATGTGGTTTCGTGAGTCAGGAAACAGCGGTGAGTCAGGAAACGCCTTGGAAACAACAGGCCAAACAGAACAGCGCGTGCATTGTGCGAATAAGTTTCTCTGACTCAACCAAGAGCGGTGAGTCTAGTCTGACTAAATTCGACCCGTGATGAGGTGTTTGTGATTACTCGGTTCCTTTGGACAGCCCAGCAACGTCCGTCCTCATGGCAAAGAGCTGTCTTACATCAGACTCAACTTAGTTTCAAACCAGGTCATTCGCCGAATGACATTCCACTGTCTTGCTTGTTCGACAGGACTCACTGCAGTGGCGCGCCTTCTGCTCCTCGGCATCTTCAACCTGCTCCCCGAGAACTGGGTGATGGGTGAACTGGGTGATGGGTGATGCTCACTCATGCGAAAGGCGGGCCAGAAATTTGTGTGCAGAATCTCCCTCCTCCTGACAGCTTCCAAGTTCTGTCGGAAACGAGTAACGGCAGAGAGCAAAGAAGCAGTGCGAATCAGCTGACCCGTCTGCGATGCGAAAACCACGTGCGCTACCAATTCAAGAGCTGGTCAAAGGACGTCAAAGGCAAGCCATGTTGGGAAAGCGCTCAAACGGATGGGCCCTCTGAATTTCCGGAGCTTCAGGATCCAAGCCCGCCTGGGAACTCATCATCTCGTTGAGCAGGTCCATAGGATCCTGGATGGTTTCTCAAGGAGAGGATCCAAGTTTTGTTGGAAGCACGCACTTTTTAGCCAGGTCTACGATATGTGATGAATTTGTCCTGTTCACATTCTAATTAACCTGCCGAATTTACACCAAGTGCAAACTCCCTGTGAATCAAACTTGGGCAAGTGCCGGCTTGCCGATTCACTTTCAGAAAAAGCTGGAGCATTAACTCAATCTTGTGCTGTGTGAAGTGCGCAATTGATGACGCAATACGCGGGTTTGGGTGTCTGTGCCGTGTGCTCTGATGCTCTGAGTACGCCAAATCCTTGGCTGCCGAGGTGGCTTGTGTCTCGGTCGCTCTGGCCCGATTGCCGTCGTGTGCAAGTGATGTTCGCGCAAATTTGACCGAATGCGACAACGTCCGTTCCAATCATATCAAAGAGTGTTGTCAAAGCTTCGAAAGTTAGAACGGGGAGCACAACATATGCGGATGCACATGGTGTATGCACGCCATGGCGGCATCCATCCGCGCTCCTTGATGGCCCCCAGCGCTGTGAGCAGTGCGAAGGCCACCGGGTCTGGCCTCAAGGGCTCCAAAGCGCTCCCCCGTTGGGGTCATTGCATGGTCCAGCATGGAACGTTTCAATCATGGCCGAAAAACGAAACGCAAAAATCAGGGAGGCCATTAAAATCGCGGCCAGCTGAGAGGCCAGATTCCATCAGCTCTCGCGAAACACAGCTACTAGAACCACTGACAAAGTGTGTGCCTCTTTATCCTGCAGTTGGAGCACGTGCCAAAAGCTGTCCTCTGCTGCCTTTCAGAAGGGCTATTCCAGTTGCCCGGTTTTAGAAGAGAAAGCAGATTGAAAGTTCCTTAAGTAACAGTCATGGTGGCTAGAAAAGTGGCGGCAATGAACCCAAAATGACCAAGGTCGACAAAGAATCTCACAAAGTGAGTGAAGCTGGCAAGAAGAAGCATGCCGAAGAAAAGCGATGAGTGCATTACACATGCTCAGCGTTGATTACACATATCCAGCTGCTCTTCTCCGAGCGCTGCGCAAGCCCATGGCATCGTACTGTTGCTGCAGCTTGGCCTCGGAAAGGAAACACCTGATAATGTGTCAAAGAAAAAATGACCCATTAAAATGGTTGGCTTCATGCTTCCCTTGTAAAGTCAGCCACAACAGGAATGCCTAGACTTGGCCTTTGACGCCTCAACCACTTCTGTGGAGGTCAAGCGGAAAGACGAACAACATCAATCGCAATTCGTTGGCATGGTCTTTTCACCGCAGTCCTCTTGTTTCAGAACTGTGGCCAACAGGCAGGCAAGGAACCTTGACACATGCTGAAACGGCATGGTTCTTGGTCCGTGGATCAAATGGGACCATCTCAGCAGTCCACGTCTGGCTTTGGCACGGCAGCCAAGCAGCGCATGGCGGCCTGAATCTGAAAGAAAACACCCAAAGCTCACGCTGTCGAAAAGGTCATCGTCAAATGCATATTCCAACCACCAACTAGAGGACACACATAAAAACCAGGAAGGATTGGAGACCGGGAGAACTGCAGGACCGTTGTCATGCAAAGGACACCCATCATGGAGAGGGCCAGCCACCAAGAAACCACATTTCTGAAAAATGTGCAGACACCACAGGACACATGCATAGGCTGCGTGCTTGTTCTCGCCTGCATTCCATTCTGCAAGAAGTCCATGGCATATGCCGAGTATGGCAATTAAACATCCAAGCTCACCAATATGCACATTTCACCAAGCACTGACAAAGTATCAAGTTGGTTGCCGCCAAAACGATATCGTTGGCAGTGGATTTGGTTTCATGGGGAATCAGCTGGGGCTACATTTTGTAAAAGTCCGAAATTATTGGTTGCAAACTGCTTTTTCATGTCCCTGGTGAACCCGCACCTTGCACCAATTTGTTGCGTCATGATGTTTGCTAAGATGGCAGCCTACATCATGCAGGCAATTGGATGATTGCTTCGTTGCTGTGCACCAGTGTCATGCGGAACAACTGTGGAGAATTGTGCGGATTGCCTTTGCATGGCAGCACCCTAAACTGAGTAATATGATGCGGCAAACGTGCAACTGATAAAACCAAATCGAATGGAAAGCGCGTATGGACAAATTGTTCAACTCAGCGTCACGTCCCAAAAACCGTGCAAAGCACGTCACAGCCAAAGTTGTTGAAGCTTGACTGTTCAACTGTCAACAGGAACAAATTTGGCACTTGTAACGCGCCACGCACCTCGGGTGTGCGAAAAACAAATTCCTGATTGCCCCAGCAATCTCTCAAGAATATAGAATTATCAGGACCGAGCCTAAAATTGTCCTAGAACTTTGTCGTTGCAGCCCGGTAAGCGGCCTCAAGTCTTGCGTCTCCGCGGAAAGTCGGCCACGCAGTCAAACAAGGGCAACAAGCACAGATGACAAAAACACCTTGCGCGCACACTTTGGAACGCAGGAACGTCACAAAGGTCGCAATGGTTGCAGAAGTTGCGTTTCGGAAATCAACACGGAGGATCACGAACGTCCGAGAGCCAGTGGGCTTTGGGAACCAACAATCAGCGCATCACGGAAAGGCTTGCGCAAGGTCAAGATAAAGATCACAGGTACGTGGTTCAGGCGTCCCTGAATGATATTCTTGCCACATGTCACCCAGCTTCGTTGGCAGAGGGAGTGACATTGATTGAGCTTCATGATCTTCCCGTGTGATCATCATGATCTGGCGGTGAAGCCTTCCATCCGTGAACTTGGATGATCCACACACACACACAGGCGCCGCTTTTTGCGGCACGATGGGATTCAAGGCGATCAGGCGACTACTCATCAGTAGGTGTAGCCGATGATGACGAGCACGAAGTGTCTGGATGTTCCGGCTCAGCGTGGTCGGAGGGTGATGCTTCGTCGCGCCGGTTTGATCGTTCAATGCTGCAACACAGAGCGCGGTGAGACCGAGGGTTAAATGGTTCCCAACCAGTGGCAGTGACACGCAAGTGAACATTCGGCAGCGAAAGTCTGCATCGGAGATTTTGCAATGACAGAAACGCCTGGGTGACACGCCAAAGGGGTCTGACCACCACGACCTGGCGCTGAAGCAATCTTGAGGGGAGGTTTTGGTGAGCGGAGCGTGAAGTGGCTCCGTGCCATCTGGTAGTGTACGCTGGTCAGAGGTGCGCTTGTAGTTCGGGATGGGAGTAGTAGAGGAAGAAGGCAAAATGGGAGGAGTGACAATGCCGTCATGACGCCCGATTTGACCCCAATGAGTCTGGCTCTGTGGGGCACTGGGCTTTCCGAGACCTTGACAAGGACTTTTGTCAGGCCGAGCTGTTTTTGTTTGGGGCCTGGAATCCCTGATCGCTTGCCTCTGGGACCTTCTCGGACGAGACAAGGGGACGGTGAAACGGGAGTGAGACACAGTTAGCAGCGATAGTTTGCAGCGGTGATTTTGCAACGAAAGCCAAGTGAGTGAAACGCGAGTGGTGAAACGTCTGGGTGATTTGTCAAAGTGGTCTGACCACCACGACCTGGCAGATCGTAGAATGAGCCGCGTGGAACGCCCAACGAATTGGGACGGAGTAGTCGGTCTTTCAGTTTTCTGCAACTCTGGCACGTGTTGCGTCGTGAGCCCAACAGTTGTGGTAATGCGCCACGCTGCCAAACGGGCGGGCGTTGCGGAAGTGCAAGAGGATGCCCGTCATGCGCGCGGCGCCCTGGCTGTAGACCCGCGTGAAGATGTCTTCGGCGTGGACGTGAGCGCCGGCGCCCAGGATCACGTTGACCAAAACCTGTATCTGCGGCGCCAGGAGACAACTTCCTTGAGCATGTTCTCCAGACGTAGTCGACGCGGCGCTGCTGGTAGAACTAGCGGCTGCAGCACTGCTTGTGGATGAAGAGGTTGATGTTGCTGTAGTTTAACTTAAGCTAGTCGAAGAGGAGGTGGATGTGCTGCTGGATGTGGCGCTGCTGGTAGATGAAGTAGAGGTACTGCTGCTTGTGGATGAAGAGCTGGCGTCACTGGAGGTAAATGTGGGCTTGACACGGCGGTCGTTGAGGTTGAGCTTGTTGAAGAGCTTGTTGTACTGGATGTAGATGCCCTGCTCGACGTGGTGCTGCTGGTTGGTGCCGCCTGCAGATGAAGAGGTTGGTAAATGAACTACTGGAGGTGGTGCTGCGAGTGGATGAAGAGGTTGATGTTGCGGTAGTGGTGGTGGAGCTTGTTGAGGAGCTTGTCGCGCTGGAGGTAGATGTGCTGCTCAATGTGGCGCTGCTACTCGGTGCGCTTGTTGACGTGGCGCTGTTTGCGGATGAACTGGTGGAGGCGCTGCTTGTTGTTGAGCTCGTGGAAGAGCTCGTGGTACTGAAGGTTGATGCGCTCGAAGATGCGGCGCTGCTGGTAGAGGAACTGGTTGATGTGGCGCGGCTAGTTATTGAGCTCGTGGAGGAGCTGGTGGTGCTGCTGGTAAATGTGCTCGGAGATGTTGTGCTGCTGATGGAGGTTGACGTAGCGCTCGTTGAGGCCGAGCTCGTTGTAGAAGAGGACGTAGAGGACGTGCTTGTGGACGCCAGTGGAAGAGGTAGTTGTGCTGCTGGTAGAGGAGCTGGTTGACGCGGTCGAGCTGGATGATGCGCTTGTAGATGTGGTAGAAGCAGGGGGTGCGCTGGTCAAGCTGCTGGTCGTTCGTTCTGCTAGACGAGGCGCTGGTGGAAAAATGCGCATGAGTTGTTGTAGCGCCCGGCGAATCGTGAGTGAGACGCGTGGAAGGCCAAGTAGTCCTGGACAACCATTTAACCACTTTTCACGGGGTCATTCTGCTCAGGACCATGAAATTCGGTTTTCACGGCCATTGCCTTTTTTCACGGCCACTGCTTGCACTTCACGTTTTTTCACGATTTCGGCCCGTTTTTCACGGCCATTCACGCGTTTTTCACGGCCTTTTCACGCTTTTTCACGGCCATTCAGCGTGCTGCTGCAGTTTCACGGCCATAGCCTTTTTTCACGGCCATTTGCCCAAACGACCAACGACCCCAGGAAATATAGCCAAATGGTTCTCCAGGGTCGCCTCGAAACTCCGAAACACCGCCTGCATCAGTCCGACTGTGGGGGACATACCAAGCATGATGGCTGCTTGCTGTCCCTTGCCGAGGAGGTCGTTGGCGTTGTCCTTGTTCAGGCTGCCCTGCCCAAAGCCGAAGAATCCGAAGGACAGGAAGGCGCTGTTGCCCCAAGAATTGGGATGGAGTAGACGGTCTTTCAATATCCCCGCAACTCCGGCGCGCGCTGCGCGGGAGCTGTAGACCCGCGTGAGGATGTCCGGTGTGGACGTGGACGCCGGCGCCCAGGATCGCGTTAACCAAGACCTGCGTGTGAGGAGCCGGAGATGAGGGGTGACGGCACGGAAGCGCGGATTGGCCGGCATATAGGGGGTCGGAGGTCCTTGATGCTGTCAAGACTGCATGGTGTCGCGCGTCAGGATCGCAAATCATTGACTTGTTTTGAGCCCGAGTGGGGAGAAGGCAACACGGGAAACCCAAACAAACCTAAAGACCTTGTGCTGCAGCTTGACGCCACGGGGAACCGACACGGGTGTGAATGCTGAATCTGAATCTGAATGAACAGTAAGCGCTAACGGTCTTTAATTGGGAGGGAGTACCAGAGAAGTCCAGCACCACCGGTGCATCATTCTCCTCAGTGAGGAGCCGGGCATGGTAACCCGTCACACCGGCGCCTTCGCGGAAAGCCGAGCGATACACACTTTGGATGCAGGAAAGTCACACAGGTCGCAGTGGTTGCAGAAGTTGCGTTTCGGAAATCAACACAGAGGATCACGAACGTCCGAGAGCCAGTGGGCTTTGGGAACCAACACTCAACGCAGCACGGAAAACACAAAGAGATTCGTGATTGAGCTTGACATGATCTTGCCTGTGATTGAGATTCGTGATCTGGCGGTGAAGCCTTCCATCCGTGAACTAGGATGATCCACACAGCAAGACACGCTTGAGTTGCGTTGGCGCGGCAGAGGGTCAAACGAGAACCGAAAACAAGAAGCGGCAGCCGCGTGGCAATGCGTCGCGCCCAACACCCAAATGTAGACAATTGAAGCGGGGGCCCGTCAACACTTTCATGCAATACGCCAGCTTTGACAAGCACCTTGCCACGTTTTCTGCTGGCGCGAGCAGAGTCCTCAACACGTGATGCGCCCACGGGTCTAGCGCGAAAACAAGTCGCAGCTTGTTCGCTTGGCGACAGTCATGCCGTGTTGGGTTTCCTGCTCACAGCGTTGGGCCCTAAGAAGGGTGGGGTTAACCTCAGGAGATGCACGGCGCTCTGGCCACGCCCACAGTGGAAGAGACTCATCTTGGGCGCAGCGCTTCCAAGGTCTTCAAGCTGGACGCACGCGTCAAACAGCTTCAAAGCACAAAG